AGCACTCATTTCTCACTTTGTTTCATCAAATTGTTTTTTATATATTCATTTTTACCGCCTCTTTATTGTATCATATCTGTGTTAACAAATATTTGTTTTATATAGTATGCTTTCTATGTATTTACATTATGTGTAATCTTTATGAAACTGTTAATTTTGTACCTCATGTTGCAAAAGCCGAAATATCATTAAAAAAGTATACATGTAAAAAATTAAAGTATTTTATGTATATATATTGAAGTGTGTGGAAAAAAGATTTTTAATTTTTCTCAGGAAGCGTCACATGTCAGGAATAAGACTTATGTGGAACAGAGGGCAACCCTTGCCTCTTATAAAAAAGTGGAATCCGTTTGCGAGAAATATACCGTGGCTTACATATGCGAGTCATCCATTGTTCTGGTACAAAGGTAAATATTAAAATCCAATATAAATAAAGAGATTATAAGTGGCATTGCTGTATAAAAGTGCTTTATTATGTGTTCTGTTACTAATAAAAATTGTGGCACTAACAAGATATCATTTTAGATGGAACCGAGATTGTTAAAACGAGATTCGACATAGAAGCCTTTAATACTACGCTCAAAAGTTTACTACCTCGTGAAAGCAACGTTATTAATATGCCGATCATTATAGAGAATTATTGCAGTCTTGGTGCCTTAGTGCATAATAGAAATGGCTTAGGTTTCTTTAAAGTGCGTGGCAAAATCAGTTTCTAATTTCGCTGATCTCTAGAATTACAAATGTTGTAAGGTATTTCTTTGAGCTTGATACTTTTTATCCCTTTTAGAATTTTTTTCCTACTACATCACACATGTGGTTTTAATTTTTTGTATAGTATTATTATAGATTTAATATATTGCAACATAATCTTCTACGATATACATATATATATATGTATATATATATATATATATATAAATAATAATTAGTAATAACTAATATTATTCATATATTATATACATATATATATAAATATTAAATTATATATATGTATATTAAAATTAAATGTATTACAATATATATTTTTAGAATTGTTTAATTATTTTCATAAAAATGATATATCTAACAGTAAAGTCGAAATTTTAATTAACTAAGTGCTGCATATTTTTTGCAGTTCACATAAATTATATATTTATATAATTGTAAAAATACATACATGTATGTTATAATATATGTTATTAAATACACACACACACACACACACACACACACACACACACATATTCCCTGTTATACACTTACACTGTGCTAAATTATTTCATACAAAAAAGTACGAAAGTTTACCAAATTTATTCAATTTATAATAAAATTTAAAATATTTCACATTAAAGACTTATATTACTCTTGGTACTTAAATTACTAGTATGTGCGGAAAGATTTAGAAATAAAGCATTTATTGTAATTTCTTATTGTAGAATTATGCAATGTACTTGTATATGTGTACAATGCTCTATGTCTATTTCTGAGTTAACAATAAATGAGAAATGTTGAATATATTTAGCAACTTTGTAATTTAGAAAATATTATAAGTATAGCAATCATATAATATTGAGCAACCAAGATTTTGTGGAGTTCTATTCATAAAGATCTTTTCATAAATTTTCCCACTATTACAATATATTATTTTTGTTATATTATATATGCTACAAAAAAAAAATTGCTTCTCTATTTAAAAGTTTATTCATGGATTTGTCTTATATATTTTGTGAATTTGAAATCACAGATCATCAGCTGATTTATCAGATTAAGCTAGGTTTGATTAAGTTTAGGTTAGGATGTTGAGCCAACAGATGTCTTGTTTATATCACCTGTTGATTCAATACGACTGCGAATGTGTCATATTATTTTTCTAAGTCGCCATATGTTACACACTCGACTTTCACTTATTACTTCATACTTTTCCTGCTTGTTTAAATAACTGAATATCACAAATGTAAACTGATCGCGATTATAAATATAAAAAATTATTTGAGTTTTTCAGTATAAACTTGTGTGCTTTGATATATAGAATATTAATCTATAATCTAAAATCGATAATATTATCGATGATTCTATTATGATGATTTCATTCTGCTTTTATATTATCGACACATAAATACGTGAATTGTATGCCACAGGTAATGTTCATTATATTGGTAATAATTGAAATAATCATTAAGTTAGATATATATTTGATATGTAAATTAATTATGTTGTATGTTTGCAGTCTTGTCGGAATAAGTTAATAAACTTTACAAACGATATGGAGAATAAAAAATAAAACTCAAAGAAATTTAAAATGATACATACAATGTCTGTAAAAAATACGTGCAATATCTGATAATGAGATAAGTGAGTGCAATGAAGGTCAAACATAATGATTAAAGACACGAGTATAGTAGATTTTACTTCATGTTAGATTACCTACCATTAGTTCCGACAGAACTGGATGATTTTATCATTTTTTTATTGTGATAACACAAAATGCGTTTACGATTTTTAAAACAGAAATCGGTATTTCTGATTGGTTTCGGGATTGGTTTTGTTCTTCCATTATTATTTGTTTCATTAAGAAGTATGTTTGTGATTGATTCTATCGTTGATCAAGATCCATCATTGTGGCAACCTGAATACTACCTGAATAAAAAACTTTGTCACGAAGAAATTATTTTACAGTTTTGGAACAAGTTGAATGAGACAACAGATGTTAACAGTATTACATATCACACTTGGTTAGCAACACAAAAGTTGAAATTATACCAAATTGATTTGGATGAATACTTGTATGGTCGACAAGAAAGAGATGACAAAAGAAAGAAACTCACAGAATGGAACTGGTTAAAAAAACAAGTGTCTATCACATGTGTGATTTTCGTGGAAACGCTTAAGCTTGGAAAATCAATCAAGGCTACTTGGGGCAAACACTGCAATAATGTATATTTTTTTGGACATCGCTTGAAGAATGCGGAATTGCCTATTATTGATGTAAATATAAAAATTGTGTCTTCTTGGCAACTGTTGTGTGAAGCTATGAATTATATTTGGAACCATCAAGTAGACAAACTACAGTGGATTATATTTGTGAAAGACAATACTATAATTATACCAGAAAATTTGCGCTATATGGTTGCTTCACTGGATTACACACGCGACTATTATTTGGGTCATTCAGTGGTTCTATGGGGTCAGGCTTATAATGTTGCTCAATCTGGATATGTTCTTAGCAGAGGAGCACTGAATAAAGTAGTGCAAATGTTCAATAGTACAGAAAAATGTATTAAGGGAGGAAAGTATTGGAAGAAGGAAGATTATTATCTCGGTAGACAACATGATGTCATATAACATAAAAATTTATTATATAATAAGTTTTGATTGATTATTTATATCTATGATATTAATTTTCTATCTTATTTTTACAGGAAAGCATCTGTCGTCCTTAGGCATACATCCGTCTGACACCAGAGATCAGTATTTAAGAGGTACTTTTCATGGTTATTCTTTACAACATCTTCTATGGGGTGTTGCGAAACCAGACAGCTATTTCACACGTGCTGTATATCCGATAAAAGGAGAATGTTGCTCGCCGATATCCGTGACTTTCAGCGTTAGTGAATCCAATAAAATGCACATGCTAAATTATTTGTTGTATCAATTGCATGTATTAAACAGTGAAAGTCGATTTGGTAATGTTTCTGCTGAAGTTCGAGTACGTGAAGAAGATGTAAGTTTTAATGCAGTTAACATTGTTTATCAACTTTTTTCTCAACAATTTAAAAAAAAAATTTTTGTCGGATGTTAATGGTTATAATATTATCATATAATATAAATAAATTTAAATCTCTTTTGATAAGTATGATGCAATAAAGAAGTGTCATGGTAATAATCATAATTTTATATCATAGTTTATATTCCAGGTTTGGAAAGTTGCACTGCAAGAAGAATTTAACATCACGCATTTGAGTGATATATCCAGCGACGCTTATTACGAAATATGGCATTCGAGATATTCTGAACCAGAGCAATTAAAAATTGCTCAAAATTATCGGACACCAATCCCGCTAAATTGTTTACTAACGAATTACAAAGAAAATTCATCAGCGTACAATTGTAGGGCTAAAAGTGTCGTCAATAGTACAAAAAACTGAATGAGTTATTTATTAGAATGCTAGTTTGTTATAATTATCAAAAAAGTGTGTACACAAAAGTTTAAGAGTGTGAATATTTGTGATATTCCCTATTTGTATATATGATTACAAAATGATATAACTGTAGCAAATAAGTATGTTAATAAAAATAACATTGATATACTTCATTTTCAATTTACTACGCGAACAAAAAGAAAGAATGTCAATAAAAAAATCAAGCTGAAAGTTGTATTTAACATCGCCCACTATAATATACAATTAATCAACTTATGTTTTGGATAATTTATTAATCGGAAATGGTTGATAAAACTATTTCCCTTGTTATGTTCAGTACGTTTTATCGAGCTAATTAGAAGCTCATTAACGTTTAAAACGAAAGCGATAAGTTAATCATTTCTAAAACGTTTTCACAGAAGTTTGCCTATCGCAACTCTTAAACGATTAATAATTGATATAATAATAATTATACACAGTATATTATTTGAAAATAAATATGTATTTTCTTTAATTCATATTACATTTATTGCTATTTTGAATAGAGTCTCAAATCTACATACAACACGTAGATTTGAAGAGCTAAAGAAAATATCCATGAAAGAAAGAAATTTTGAAGATAATTAAAATTTTTATAAATATAGTATATTGTTATATATTTTTTATAATACGCATTTTTCTTTGTATTATACATCCATTATGGATATGATACGTGATTATTTTTACATATTTCGTCTGTACCGTCTGATTCGCGACCGACTGACCCATATTTTTCATCTCGTTTATCAAGTATAATTTGAACTTATCACTTATCCGTTTCCTTCTAGAGGTAGATATATAAAAGGACTGTATTCTAATTTGCGCATTTTACAAGTGTTATTTCATGCGTTTTGTCCAAGGTACAAATGTAAAACTTTTTCTGGAACAAAGTTATATCGTGCAGGTACCATGGTGCCGTTGCAAATACTTGAACTTTTATTCGTGCTGATTATTGTTGCAAGCAATATAAGACAAGGAAATGGATATTCAGAGGATATGAACGCGCAAGAAGTAAATGAGTTAGTACATTATATATATTTCTGTTATAGAAACTAAAATTTTTCTTTATAATGTCACTAAAATAACTGCATTTTATTTTCCTTAAGGAATAAATTATGCGAATTATTTGAAAAATCCTATCTCTATTTATAAATTTTTCTCGTGTATATTAGGGAGGAAGATATGTTAAAAGATGCGCCAGATTCAGCGATTGGAGGTTCCTATAATGTTAAAAGCAGCAAAGGAGGAAGACGCGTATTTGCAGGGGGTTGTACCCGTAGACCGAACGCGCCTGTGAACGGCAAAATAAAATGTTCTCTGGACAGGTATTTAGAAGCACTGAAAAATTCAAATAAAAATATCAATTTAAATAATTTAGACGTTACATTAATATTGATAAATATTATAATATTAATATTAATATTATAATATTTATCAATATTAATGTAACGTCTAAATTATTTAAATTGATAAGTTAATTTACATATTTTTGCGGTATTAGATATTTGCAATTAAAGTCGTTATATTATAAGGTATTTAATTTTATAAACGGAAATGCGCTATAATAAAACACTAAACAAATATGCTGGATGTAACAATTCTCTGTGAATAGTGGTTGTACCGCAAGTTGTGCGTCTGACTATAAATTTCCAAACGGTGCGTTTCAACTAACGATTACCTGCGTCGATAAGGAATGGCACGTTGGAGGAACCGAGTGGAACTCTGTACCACATTGTGAACGTACGTAGAAAAAGTGAATCTAAATTTAATTTCTACTCGATAAAAAATATTAAGAGACGATAAGATATCTTCGATGCGATCTAAATCACACATCTTTTATAGCGATCTGCATGCCGGAATGTCAAAATAATGGAATATGTGTTGCGCCTCATCATTGCGACTGTCCCAAACACTTTACTGGTCCGCAGTGCCAATTCGAAGATAGACCATGTTTAAATTATTCTCCACCCGTTCTCAATTCTTATAAAAGATGTAATGCGAAGTGAGTATAACGTTTGTAGATTATATTTTTACAAGTTCTACGAGAAAAAATTTTTAACTTTTTAAAATTCTTTAAGAACATGCACTATATCTTGTATGGAGCGTTTTACTTTTCCCGACGGTTCATCCGTCGCTAATCTAATCTGTAAGAATGGGAGTTGGATGCCAACTAGAAGCGATTGGGTTTCAATTCCGGATTGCGAACGTACGTCTGCATGATCATTAAATCTCTGTACGCCATATAAAATTAAATACGCACAGTATTAACGTGATTATGTCTCTACAGCTGTGTGCGATCCACCTTGTCAAAACGGTGGCAATTGTCTGCCGATGAATGTATGCCAATGTCCACAGGATTATCGAGGACCTCAGTGTCAATACTGTAAATGATGAGATATCTTTATAATTCGTAGTTGTATTTTATCTAACGGAAGATATATGGATACTTGGAAATAAATTGTATTAAATAAGTCTTTTTCTCTTTCTGTTTCTCATATGTTTATAATTTATTTTTTTTTGCAAATTATGTATCTAATCAACATGTACGGATGGCAGCTGCTGATGTTTGCGATGCCGAGAAACTACATTTCAACGGTGGATATTACTGCAAAGATTCTGGCGACACGTATTCTTGCACGCTCTACTGCCCATCAGGAGTGCAATTCGAATTTCCGGCTTCTTCGGTTTACACTTGCACTTACGATAAAGGAATCTTCGAACCGCAGCCTGTACCGCAATGCAAGATTGACAATAACATCAAGATCATTTCACATGGCACATTCCACAACACCTACGTACGGGAATCGAATCACTCCTGGTCAATGGAAAATGTTTATAACACCAAAACGAAACACTCTGAAGAGATTTATGAAAAGTACAGGGTTTACGACAGCAATGTGTCACATCCAGTAAATAATACATTTTATTTACGAAAACATGATTTATTTAATATAAATAAAAATCGTACCGCAAATGTAGGACAGCATGTAGTTTTGTTAAATTTAATCGTAGTATTTATCAGTTTTTAAAGAAAGTTTAAATTTTCTTTAGCGACTCATGTATGGATTCTATGATGGAATTTAACAAAAGTACCTGCTGTCCCAAGTCACCTATATTTGCGATAATAAACATTAAAATGGTAACTGTGAAAAGAATCTGTGTTTACTAAATGAACAAAGTGAAAAAATGATATGATTAATTTATACTGCATGAAACATTACAGATTCGATTTAATGATGATCGCATAACGGTCTTTGAAATAAATCGACCGAAACCGAAAATATGCTTCACCTGGGGAGGCGCGCACTACAAAACTTTCGATGACAGAATCTACAGCTTCGACAGCGACTGCTCGCACACGCTTCTTCGGGATACTCAAGACGGCGTTTGTACAATCGTGGTATCGAATGGTCCGGGCTGCAGAATCGGATCGGATCGTCATTGCTCCAAGATCGTGAAACTATTTGTGCACGACAAGAAGTACGTACTCACCAGCGACGACATAGGTATGCCGATATTTTCCAACAACAAACGATCGTTGCCGATACCGATATACTTGCCTGGATTGCGCGTGGACAAATCCGCGCATTTCATCCTCGTCTCTCTCGACTCGCTGGGCGTGAAGCTGAAGTGGGACGGCGCCTTGCTATTGCAGATTGAAGCTTCTGAGAGCATGTGGAACAAAACGGCTGGCCTATGCGGTACTATGAACGATGATCCAAACGATGAATTCTTAATGAAGACTGGAAGTTACGCTCGAACTGTAACGGCGTTGGCAAGTTCTTGGCGTGTCGGAAGTTTCGAAGGTAATGACAATTATATTTTCAACTCGTACTTTATAAATGCTGAACTATAATTTTACATAAAATATCATGTCACGACGTATTTTATTTTGTAGAAACATGTGATGATTATCCAAGTATTCAACATGCGTGTGAATCGAAAGACAAGTTTGCCCATGATGCACTCCAGTTCTGCGTCCAGTTGCTCTCCAACAATAAATTTAAGGCGTGCGCTGACACAATTAATCTTCCTGAACTGACCGATGCATGTTTGTGGGATTATTGCGCGTGCAAACACGAAGACAGAAGAAAATGCGCCTGCGACACGATGGACGTTTATATCCGCCAATGTGCTCACAAAGGAATTGCGCGATCAACAGCGTGGAGAAACGATGATACTTGTCGTGAGTTAATAAAAAGATATTTTGTAAAGCTACTTACTCATATAAAACATATACTTACATAAATTGTCTTACTTAATTTTTAAATAAATTATTTGTAGCGATTAACTGCGATGGTGGACAAGTGTATATGTCATGCGGTCCAAAGGTGGAAGCGTCTTGTACTTCTAGTATCGAAGCAACAAGCGAGAGTTCTGAGTGCGAGGAGGGCTGTTTCTGTCCTGCAGGTACCTTGGAGCACCAAGGGAAATGTGTCACTCCAGAGGAGTGCCCATGCAGGTTGAGGGGCAAATTGTTCCAGCCAGGCACAAGCGTGCCAAAAGGCTGCAATACTTGCACATGCACTTCCGGTAAGTGGGTGTGCACGCAAATACGATGTGGTGCTAGATGCGCCGTCTTGGGCGACCCGCATTATACTACGTTTGATGGCAAACACTACGATTTTATGGGAAAGTGTAAATATTACTTAATGAAAGGAGAAAATTACACGATCGAAAGTGAAAATGTTCAGTGTTCCGGAGCGATATCTCAGGTCAGAGAAATCCCTTTTACTGAGGAAATTTGATGTAGTATGCTCTTATTAATTATATTAATTATTATACATTTCTCCATTTAATCTTTCTTAATTAATTATTATTTATTTTAGAGTATGGGCTTTACTTCTGCAGGCTCCCCATCGTGCGTCAAGGCTGTTACAATTACTTTCAAGAATACCTCTATAAAATTAAAGCAGAATCGCCAGATTACGATAAATGCTGATGAAATAACGAAGTTCCCGACGCTTTTTGATGGTGCCCGAATACGAATTGCGAGCAGCATATTTATGGTGATTCATCTGCCAAACGCTTTGGAAGTGTGGTGGGACGGTGTATCACGTGTTTACATTAATGCTCCTGCTGAATTTCACGGTAAACTTTTTGGTTTTACTTTCATTATTATAATAAGAAGAAGAGCACGAGCGTGGCATAGTAGGCAGCGCACTGGTCTATATCATGTCAGAAGTCCCAGGTTCGATCCCAATAGTAATCAAAATATTTACGCTCATGTCTCCTCTCGGAAAAAGCTCTGTCGGCAATCTCCGAGAGTATCTTGCCCACAGAAATACTCCTAAAAAAAATCTGCTGTTTGGAACCAGCATTAAAACTGTAAGTCCCATACGCTTGTGGTAATTGAATAATCAGCGTGCGCACCATAAGCATATGAGAAAGGTGTAATATATGCTTAGAACTTAACTAAGAGGAAGAAGAAAAAACATATTTTATCATTTTAGTAATTCTATTGCCAAGAGAACCTCTCAAAACTGCCGTTTAGAACCGGCGTTAAATTGTAGGTCCCATATGTATCTGTGTACAATCTGCGTGTGCACCACAGGCATACGTACGAGAAGTAGGCCTGGTCCCGACTTGGGATGTTGCGCCATTAGATGGATGGTCTATTCTATTTAATGCAGCAGCTAAACTTTGTTTCAAGTATTTCTTAATAACGTCTCTCTTGATGAAAAATGCAAACTAATTTACTCTGCATTTTTCATCAAGAGAGACGTTATTAAATATTTGATTAAATACTTGATCATCAAAATTGACTCTATGCGCAGACTTTATGCGTGCTTCCTTATTTTCTAATTTTTCTGATTATCATCCCTTCAAAGAACAACCTTCTGATTGAACCGCGATTATTCAGATCAAACGAAAGGACTTTGCGGAACATTTACCGAAAATCAAAAGGATGATTTTATAACTCCTGACGGTGATATTGAACCCGCGGCGATCGCCTTCGCCAATAAGTGGAAGACAAGTGAATATTGCGTTAATGAGCCTGAGAATGAATCAAAACATCCCTGCGAGTTAAATCCTGAAAGGCGCGCGACCGCGGAAGAACACTGCTCCAAAATACATAGTGATATTTTCTCAGGTACTTATAAAATTTTTATAATATCTAAAGAGTATCTAAAGAGTTTTAAATAATCTCATTATTTTCCTATTATTTTAGATTGCCATTGGCATGTCGATCCGACGGAATTTTACCGAGATTGCATGTACGATATGTGCGCATGCGATGCTGATATAAAATCGTGTCTTTGCCCTATGTTAGCAGCGTATGCAAAAGATTGCGCGGCTCTAGGCGTAAAGCTTTCGTGGCGCACTGAGATTGATGAATGTAAAATTCATTGCAGCGGCGGACAGACTTATCAAATCTGTGGAAATAGTTGCACAAGGTAACACGTTATAATGCATTCACTGCATTTATTTGTCTAAATGTTTTGTATTACCCTCTGAATTGATACAGATCGTGTACGGACATCTCCTTTTATCGGGATTGTAAGCAAGAATGCGTAGAAGGTTGCAACTGTCCAGAAGATCAAACATTAGACGTGAATGGCGAGTGCGTCCCAATCGCTCAGTGTCCCTGCGTGCATGCAGGTCGCGAATACAAGCCTAATCATCGAGAAGTCCGTCCAGGCAACAAGGGACAAGAGCTTTGCTCTTGCATAGGTACTTGAAGCGCTAGTCTGCTCTCGGTAGTGTTTCGTAATCCAAAATTATTTTTCACTGATTCTACAGGCGGTGTATGGGAATGCCGGTTAGCAACGCCAAACGAAATTCGGGAGTATCCACCGGTCACAGAATTACTCTCTGTTTGCCAGGCTAGCAAACATCTGGAAGTGACAGATTGCGAGCCGGTGGAGCAGAGAACTTGTAGCAACATGCACATACAAAGCGAACAGACACCATCAGTGTGCACATCTGGTTGTGTCTGCAAATCCGGATATGTTTTAGATACACCAAATGGTGCTTGCATCAAAGAAGAGGACTGTCCCTGTCATCATGGCGGAAAGAGCTACAAACAAGGCTCAGTTATACAAGCCGAGTGTAATACTTGTACGTGCGAGGGCACCAAATGGAAATGCACGGACAGAACTTGCGCAGGTGATTTTTTTCTTTGTTAATTTGCTATTAACTATTTCTATTATTTCTTTGTATATTTTATTTGTGATTTTTGTTGGCAAATATCTTAAAAAGAATTTGATTTATTATATTTTTATTACATCACATATATATATATTATGACGCTGAATATTGCTAATATTCCTTTGCAGGAGTCTGTTCTGTATGGGGTGATTCGCATTATAAAACATTTGACGGTAAAACATATGATTTCCAAGGTGTCTGCGACTACGTTTTGGTGAAGAGTACTTTGAATAAGGAAGATTGTTTTGATGTTTCGATTCAGAACGTACCTTGTGGTACAAATGGAGTTGCGTGCTCGAAATCGATCAAGCTTACGATTGGCAGTGGTGAACAACAGGAAGAGTTAATTTTGACAAAAGGAAAGGAGTTACCCAAGGGATCTTTTAAGAGATTATCGATAAGGTCCGTTGGTCTCTTCGTATTTGTTGATGTGCCAGATTTAGGATTGGTGCTGCAATGGGATAAAGGTAAGAACTACGCACAGATTATTCAAATACATTTTAGTCGAATTCTTGAAAAGAGTTATTGATTATTCTTAATTAGGTACCAGAGTTTACGTAAGATTAAATCAGGAATGGAAGGGTCGCACGATGGGTCTATGTGGCGATTACAACAATAATGCCGAGGACGATTTTAAGACACCATCTGGAGGGATATCTGAGGCTTCCGTCAATCTGTTTGGGGATTCATGGAAAAAGGATACGTTCTGTCCTGAACCGAAAGATGTACAGGATGTCTGCGAACAACATCCTGAACGTAAACTATGGTCGCTACGACAGTGCAACGTGCTGAAGTCATCATTGTTCTCACCGTGTCATTCCGAAGTGGAGGTCGAGCCGTATCTGCGCAACTGTATTTTCGACACATGTAGCTGCGACGCCGGTGGCGACTGTGAGTGCCTGTGCACGGCGTTGGCTGCATACGCGCACGAATGCAATGTACGAGGTGTCCCGGTGAAATGGCGAACGCAAGAACTCTGCCCGTTGCAGTGCGATGAGAAATGTAGCACGTATTCACCTTGTGTTTCGACCTGTCCGCGTGAAACGTGCGATAATTCTATGATTGTGAGAGATGGCTCGCATCTATGTGCGGAGGATACATGCGTGGAGGGCTGCCAGTTTCAATCTTGTCCCGAAGGCCAAGTGTATCGAAACGCCAGTTACACGGAATGTATACTCAAATCGACGTGCCCAAAACCTTTCTGTATCGAGCTTGATGGGATGACATATTATGAGGGTGACAGAGTTAGTGGTGACGATTGCCACAGTTGCTTTTGCAGTCGTGGCAAGGTGATCTGCAAAGGAGAAGCCTGCACCAGCATGACTACCGCTGGTACTACTGCTGTGCCCTTGGCGGAACCCCAGAAATGCATAGATGGCTGGACCACGTGGATCAACAAGGATCCAGCGGTGAAAGGAAAGAAGTTCTTGGATGTGGAACCCTTGCCCAAGTCGATGGATCTTGCTAACGCAAACGGATTTGCAGTTTGCGACAGGGAGTACATAGTTGATATAAAATGCAGATCTGTTAAAGAACACTTAAGTCCAAAGGAGACCGGTTTGGACGTGGAGTGCAGCTTGGAGCGTGGTTTGTATTGCCAATCGCATCCGGATCTTCCTTGCATAGATTTCGAGATTAGCGTATTATGCCGTTGCTCTGAACCAACTACGCACGGTATCGAAAAGACAACGGAGATTACGGGGGAAGGGGAAAAATGTGACGTCGCGCAGCCCAATTTGCCACATCCGACGAATTGTCAGCTGTTTTATCAGTGCGTTTCTACATTGACGGGACAAGAATTGATAGAAAAATCATGTAGTCCCGGTACTCTTTACAATTCGAAGATTCACGTGTGCGATTGGCCGACAGAAGTTTTACGCACGCGACCAGAATGCTCGGTTGAGTCCGGAGGAACTACGCAAGCCAGTGGCAAAACCCAGTGGAGCAGCAATAGTATCAGTCATTACAATAACACACTGTCGACCACAGTGGAAAAAATAGTATCAACTATGAAGGTGTGCAAGGAAGACGAGACATGGAGTGAATGCGCAATCCAGTGCGCTAGGGCGTGTCAGTACTATCGTCACATTCTAATGACGCAGGGTCTTTGCAACGAAGGTACTGATTGCGTTTCCGGATGCGTCTCGATCGACCGACCGACGTGTCCTTCGCACAAGTTTTGGAGAGACGGTATCACTTGCGTGGAGGCGAATCACTGTTCTTGTAAGTCCCATGATGGAGGCTCAGTTGCGCCCGGTGCTATAAAAAAAGAATCTGACTGCGAGACCTGCCAATGTGTCAATAATTATTATACTTGCGATACAGCTTTATGCGATATCTCGGGTCATGAAGTGACAGCTGAAACTGGAAGAGGACCGGAAACAACCACACAACCACCGCTCAGTACGACCTTGAGAAGTACTTGGGAAACATTACCAGTCATCGGATCATCCGTCAGTGAGCAAACGATTCTTCTACATAGCACGGTCACTCCGCCTGGAGAATGCAGTGATGCCAATTACGTACCGCTGATACAAAATCTGCGGGAAGAAGTGATTGTCCGTTCTAGCGGCAATAAGAATTCTGTTTTACGATCCGAGGATTTGTTAGTGTATACGGAAGGAACAATGTTGCTACCCAAGAAATTCTGGGAACCTGAGATGTTGAACACGGATCAATGGCTTAATATCGAGTTTAATAAACCTGAACCAATTTATGGAGTGATTCTGCAAGGCGGCGTTTCTGAAGATAAATTTGTAACTAGTTACAAGATGCTCTTCTCGGAGGACGGCCAAACCTTCTCATATGTACTCGATCATGAGAAACAGCCACGCGTGTTTAGAGGACCCATTGATAAAATCCAGTCTGTGAAGCAAATATTCTATCAACCAATTGAAGCGAAGATTATTCGTATCAATCCTCTGACATGGCACAATGGAATCGTAATTAAGATGGAAGTGCTGGGTTGTCAGGATCACGTAACGTCAACGACAACGAAAACAACTTCTGAAAAGGTCGTGATACCAGTGTGCGAGGATTCAATGGGATTGGATAACGGACTGATGACCATGCAACAAATTTCAGTGTCGAGCTCGCCGCAGCTGGTTCAATATCTTCGGTTGTCCACGGAAAGTGCGTGGCGTGCCGCTTTGGACAATCCTCATCAATACGTTCAGTTCAACTTCCTAGAAGCTCGAAATCTGACCGGAGTCACAACTAAAGGCGGCGACGGCGCTTGGACGACCGCTTACAAAATATTTTACAGCAACGACGGACGTTATTGGAATCCAGTCGTCGATGAGGACGGCGATGAGAAGGTGTTTCTCGGTAATTTTGACGCGGAAAGCCAGCGGACGAATTTCTTCGAGAGACCATTACACGCGAAGTTCCTAAAGATACAACTCGTCAAGTGGCACAATCATATTGCGTTGAAAGTCGAAATCCTAGGCTGTTATCTAATGTATCCTGTGTCATCAACGACATCAACAATCAAATCGACGACGACGTTTAATCAAGAATGCAACGTGTGCGACGGAATTGATCAAACGTCGAACGACGAAGGTTGCAAATGCGAGGATCCTCACTGGTGGGACGGGGAGTCGTGCATACCAAAGCGAGAATGTCCTTGCGTGGTTGGACACGTACCTTACGCGGTAATAATAATAGTAGTGATAACAATAATGCGCTTATTAAAGTTCTAAAGCAAACTTTTTAAGGATAGGATATGGTAGTTACAATAATAGATATTTATTACAGGTAGGTAGCATGTACGAGACGGACGATTGCCAGCAATGCGTGTGCTCCTTCAGCGGAACAGCCGCTTGCTTGCCGAAGAAGTGCGAGCCTTGCTTGGAACCGGGCCTGCGATCTGTTGTCGGTGAATTATGCGCCTGTCTCTGCAAACCTTGCCCAGCAGGCACCAGGCACTGTCCCACAAGCGACGTGTGTGTAAACGAGACCGCATGGTGCAACGGTGTTCAGGATTGTCCGGATGATGAGATAGATTGTCCAAAGATAATTTCTACGACACCTATCGTGATCGAATCTTCGACAACAATCAAACAAGAAATCACTACTATCAGTCCCCCTCCATTGCCATGTGAGAAACCGATTTGTCCACTCGGTTACAGATTAGTTTTCAAGCAGGCGTCTCAGCTATACGATAAACCATATCGTAATGTTAAGACGAATGTAAAATCCAAAGGTCACAAAAGTTTTATTAAGGAGTACAAAAAGCATCCATATCGTCATCCGATTCATGATCGTCCAATGAAGGATCAATTAGCATCGGAAAGTATTCAATGCCCTGAGTTTATTTGTGTGGCCAATAAACCTCCTGTCTATCCTAACGGGGAAAAGTCTGAGAAGTGTCCAGAGGTGTCTTGTCCACCTCAGTACGAAGTAGTGTATAAGAAGATGAGCATGTACAAGATGCACAAATGTCCCAAATATGCTTGCCGACCATTACCACCACAGGAGGTAATTTGCAACGTTACAGGTCGAACATTCAACACGTTCGATAACATGGAATACAAGTACGATATCTGCAATCACATTTTAGCCCGAGACATGTATGGTAATGAGTGGTATATTACGTTGGAGAAACAGTGCATCGACTCGCGTGGACAGTGGTCTTGCACACGGGTCTTGGTGGTGACGCTGAATGAACGCGCAATCGTGCTTTATCCAGATTTACATGCAGACATTGACGAGCACACTTTCACGGCCGAGCAGATCGCGCGACTCGGAAATCGATTACCCGGTTTTAAGCTTTCACGCACAGGCGACAAGATCATCTTTGTCTCGCATCGCTATGGTTTTTGGGTGATCTGGGACTCGGGCACCAACGTAAAGATCGGCGTCACCACTAAACTGGCAGGTCGCGTGGATGGCTTGTGCGGATACTTCGACGGTGATATCACGAATGATCGCCAGACACCTGAAGGTACACAAGCGAGAAGCACAGTTCAGTTTGGGGACAGCTGGGCGATGGAAAACACAGAATGCGATGTACATGTATGTCCACATGACGTTCAGGAACGGGCTTGGACCATCTGCAATTCCGTGAAAAGTCCAATGCTACTAGACGCGTGTTCTGCAGTTGTCGACGTCGACAGGTAGTATTTAATAAACATTCAATATAATAAAAACTTACTAATTTAAACGATTAAATTGGAGTACATAAAATTTGTAAAATTTGTTGTAACAAAATTGGAATTTTTAAATAAAGTTTTATCCAGTTAAGCTAAATGAATTTTTGTGCAGATTATATATACATATTTTTTTAAATATATATTCTCGCAAAATCGGTAAAATAATAAATGATTATTATTTCTCTATCGCAGATTTATGTCTGGCTGCGTGGAGAGCATGTGCTCTTGTTTGCAAACTTCTAATAGTTCCTATGAAGACTGTCGGTGTCGTTTACTGACGAGCTTCGTTGGCGAATGCGAAGCTACTCTCGGTCCTGGCGCTGATCCGTTATCGGATTGGAGAACCGCTTATGATTGTCCTGCGAGTTGCCCATCACCGTTTGTTCATCGGGATTGCTTCCGCAACAAGTGCGAAATCACCTGCGACAATTTACACGAAGTGGAACCATGTCCGTCAATGCGAGGCGTTTGCTTCCCCGGCTGCTTCTGCCCGGATGGACTGGTGCGTCGAAATGACGAATGTGTGCTGCCAGCGCAATGTCGGGATTGCGTGTGCGATGGGCTTGGCGATGCCAAGTTCATCGATTTCAATCGCCAGGGCTTCATGTTCGCCGGTAATTGTACCTACCTGCTTTCGGGAAATGTCGTGGAGAACGCGAAGAATCGGGAAGAGACTCGTGTATATCAAATCTTGATCACTAATGGGTATTGCGGTACCGGTACATGTACAGAAGCTATCACCCTGCTCTACGAGAAGCACATAGTACAAATCAAACGAGCAGAACGTTCAAAGGATCTACGGGTGATAATCAACGATTCCCAGGTGGAAAACTTCCCGCACAACCTTACATGGATTGTTTTAAATCGAATGTCGACCGGAGATGTAACTTTGCTCATACCGTCTTTTCAATTAGAACTTGTTACCTTCCAACAGAACTTCGCATTTACCTTGAAACTACCTTCGCATATCTTCAGCGATGATACTGAGGGTTTGTGCGGCAGTTGCAACGCCGATGCCGAAAATGGTTTCGAGAAACGTGATGGAGAGATTACCAATGACGTCGAGGAGTTTGGCAAATCCTGGTTGGTCGAAGATCTGTTGCCGCAGTTGGGTTGGAGCGATCAAACATGTTCCAGTAATCATCAACTTCAATGTACGCCTCCACCAGAGGAAGAAGATTTCTGCAAGAAGTTTTTATTAGATTTAGCAACGTTCAAGCAATGTCATAGCATTGTTGATCCAAAACCATATTTAGATTGTTGTCACGATGCGTTATGCACTGGCAGAAATTATTGCGACAGCTTAGAGATGTACGCGAGGAAGTGTTCGGAAGCTGGTCTATGTTTAGATTGGAGAACTAACGAAATCTGTCCTTACAAGTGTCCCAAAGGTGAGTTTTTGTCTAATATCTTAATTATTGAATTTGAATACAAAAATTGTATTTGTAAATAAAGTTGAGAACGAAATTTTATACAAAAATGTTTTAGGTTATTATTATCTCCAAATTTTTTTTTTATATTCAATTTAAAAAATAATTTTTATTGACTAAAATTGTATGTATTAATTTGGAATAATTTGTAAAAAAGTTTTATTCTTTTTAAATAAATATATTTATCATTCACAGATCTTGTCTACCAGGCATGTGGATCCAGCTGTAAAGAAACATGTGATACCATAAACGGTTCAGATAATTCTAAGTGCGCGTCTGATCTTGTCGAAGGATGTTTTTGTTCAGTGGATCATGTGTTCCATAATGATTCCTGTATACCGAAGAAGAATTGTTTTATTTGTGATAAAGATGGTCACGTGCAGGGAGATATCTGGCACCCGGATAAATGCACCGAATGCAATTGCAATGATGGAGTTGTAAACTGTCAAACGATGGAATGTCCTGTGTTGGATACGATCTGTGAAGAAAATATGACACCTGTACTTATCAATGGAACTGAGGAGAGATGTTGCGCTAAATATTTGTGTGGTAAGTTAACATAAATATTACCCAAAAATACATTTCTAATGTATATTTATTTATTTATGTTGTATGTTTTAGTGAAATTTATTTTATAAACGAATTAATAATTAATTAAATGATTAATTAGATGATTTATTATTATATCAATTAAATATTTAATTAAAATAATAAAATTAAAGTATATAATTATATACTTGTGAGAGAAATTGTTTAATGCTGTAATTTCTCAATGAATAGGAATATATTCTATTGTATCCATTTATAATCTAATAACGCGTCTCTGTAGCTCAAAAGCCGACAGCGCCTACAATATGTATTGAGTCACAGGAGCCAGAATGTGGCTTTGGTCAGACAATGAAAGCGATTACCGATGCTGATGGTTGTCACAAATTTATATGTCGTATGTATAACATGTTTGTATGCATTTCTTATAATTATTTGTCTAATCCTTGCAAGTTACATAATATTGCATGTAATTTCAGAATGCTTGCCTGTAAGCGAATGTCCCATTTTCGATAATTTTACAAATGAAATTGAGCAACTACAACCTGGTTTTATACATATAATGAATACATCTGGTTGCTGCCCGCGACCAAGTAAAATATGCGATCCGAGAATTTGTCCTTCTGCACCAAACTGTCTGGATTATTATAATGTTATTACAACAATGCTTGTAGACAGTTGTTGTCCCACTTACGAATGTGGTAAAGTTTTTTTCATGATTTTTGTATAATTGTCAAATGTATTATGTGTTTATGTGCGTTGTAAAATGGGAAGATATTATAGTATTTATAACGTAACTTAAATTGACATAAACATTTGTATAAAAAAAGAGCCATAAGGAATCAGCGTAATTGGAGTAATACAATTTTTTTTTTTTAAATAATTACAATTTAATACATCCAATTTGCGAATGCAATCATATATACTGTGTTATTAAGACCGTATCTTCGTCATTTTACTTTATTACTTTTTTAAGACTACAGAAATGTGGTTTTATTTTTATTGTACTTTTTATATTTAAATTAACATATAAATATACATTTTTTTTAGGAAATCAATATTTTTAACAACGCATATTTTTGTAAAAAAGATATAAATTCTACAAAATGAAAATATTAATTCAATTGTATTATTTCGTATTTGCATTAGTGCCGCCAAAGGATGTTTGTCTTTATACAAATAATGAAGAACAAGGCAAACAACAAGTGGTAGCAAAAAAAATTGGTGAAGAATGGAAGGACGGTAAATGCAAATCGTGCGTGTGCGAGAATTCGGATGATGGTCCTAAAACAAATTGTTTACTCACGGAATGTTCAAGTATGAGCGCACATCCTGATGTAGACGATTATGTACTTGAAGAAATATTATTGAATGATAAATGCTGTCCAATCTTCGAGCGTACTGCTTGCAAATGGAAAGGCAATATATACAATGTAAGAATAATTCTCTCTAATTATGTATACGTTATTATTTTAACATTATTATAAAAATACAATTTATACTGCTAATCATTATCATAGATTGGCGAAAGTTGGAAGCCCAATATTGAAGATGCTTGCCTCATGATGCAATGTAACAAAGATTCAGGTAGTATACAGATATTGAATAAAGTTCAAGAATGTGATATCACGTGTGATTATGGGTACAAATATCAAGCGCCTAAAGATACCAGCGTTAATTGCTGTGGTTCGTGTATCCAAGTTGCATGCATTGTAGAAGACACGCTTAAAAATGTAGGAGAACAATGGTACTCTGACGATCATTGTACAATGTATCTTTGCAAATCAATAAATGGAAGTGTAAGATTATTAATATAATCAAAATATTTACTAATTGATAAAATTATGGATTCGTTTAGTTATATTATTATTCAAATTTTAGGTGTACCTAGAAGCGAGTACTGAAACTTGCCCAGAAATCGATCCGCAAGTGAAATCCGAGTTCGAAATAGAAGCACACAAAATTCCAGGAAGATGTTGTCCGGAAATTGTTAAAACAGCTTGTCGTAATGATGGAAAATTGTATAAACCTGGAGAAATTTGGAAATCTCTCACAGATAGCTGTGTCATCGAGACATGTGTGGATGGTCCGAATATAACAAAGCGTATAGAGGTTGAAGTGTGTTCAAAACAGTGTGCTCAAGTAAGAAAATTTTATTATACGCACTTACGTTTAAGTGTTTTTATATATTCAAAATATTTAATTAATATCGTGTTGATAAAAGGGATGGTCGTATCAAGAACCAGAAGATGGTAAATGTTGCGGAGAATGCAAGCAAGCGTTTTGTGTGCTCGAAGATACTCTGTATGCGCCTGGCATGACATGGTCGTCCGATGATAATTGTACTACTTATATGTGCATGGAAACTAACGAACAGGCAAGTTATCTCTCAAGAAGAGTAAATTTTTGGATCAGATGCAACTAGCATCTTTTCGGAAAGTCGAACAATTAATTATATATATTATTATTTATTAATTTTGAAATAATTTTATATTTTATAAGTGCACATTCATTTTAGCTATCTCTTGCTGTGAGTCCAGTTGCTTGTCCAGATGTAACAAATTGCCCTGATGAATCGATTTATCATGATCAATGCTGCAAACAATGTAATATGAGCGTTAATATAAAAGATCAGATTAAAGGTAAAAAGAAAAATAAAAATAAGTATTCTTTGATTTATTTGAAAAATAATGCTGTATATTTTTAATTATTTGTGATAAAGATTAATTAATATTTTTCATCAATAATTATTTTTTTAGAAACATGTGAAGCAGTTTTCATAGATGCAAATAGTACTGTAGGTATGCTGAGTATAAATCATTCATTTCATGGAAAATGTAAAAACGTGGATGCTATTGAGGGTATTAAACAATGCAGTGGATCATGCCAATCTTCAACATTCTTTGACAGTGGTAATAATGCAAAACCAAATTAAATTCTTTCTTTGTTGTATTTTATTACAATGGTAAGCTTGATTTTTATCTTATTTGTGTTTTCTTATGTAGAAAACTGGAATCAAGTAAATGATTGTCAGTGTTGTCAAGTGAAAGAATACATGGGTATCATTGCCAATTTGAAATGCGAAGACGGCAAAAGATTGAAGAAACAAATGGCAATACCGCGTTCTTGTTCTTGTCAAAATTGTGGTTCCTCAAATGTTAAGAACGATAATAAGACAAAGACGAAGGGTTAATCTCTAAAGGATGTATGCTTGCTTGATCATTTATTCTTATTCATGTATTTTTAAATAAGATATTCTCTCCTGTATTTCAATATATGCAAGAAGAATAAATATTTTAGTAATCTTTTGTTTATTATAATTATGAACAACCAGGAGCGTGTTTAGCAAGCATGCAATGCGTGCATAACATACAGTGAAATTCAGTCGAAAATCATTGAATTATACTTAGACATATTAGAAACATCTAATATTAATTTCATTTCTTATATCCATTTCTACCACTGTAGATTGACTTTTTCAGAAAAAAAATAAAAATTGAATTGATGTCTAATTGACTTTTATTTCTCCCTGGCTTAAAATTTCAGTTTAATTTACTCTTTAGTAACATGTAATTCTTTAGAATTAGAAAAAAATAAAAAACAATAAGTTATATCAAGATTAAAGACGTAATCTATATAGTAGTAGAAATAAAAGTCACATAAAGATCACATATGAGATTAAAATTAATTTATATATTGATAGAAATAAATAATAAATAATAAAAGAAGATAATTTTGTTAGATAATAGAAAAAAATGAATATTATATATATATATTGAGTTGGAGAAAAAGAGTTCTGCGAATTTTTAGTATAAAATTTAAACAAAAAATCGACATTGTAACAATTTATTTAGTGTATTGACTGTCCTGATCTACGACTTGTTGCCAATGCTTCGGTAGGATCTTGATGCCGCTCTCGTAAAAATTACGCGCACGCATGTGTATGTGAATTAATTTATTTTTTATCTTTTTTTGGTTGTAAAGAATTAAAATTAAGAGAAAAAGGTATAATGTACGATTCATATCTTTGCGAATAATTTATTTGTTGATTCATCGAATAAATTTTCAATGCGTTTATTATTTAAAAAAGAAAAAAATTTAATACGTATTTTTTATTTAGTTTTCAATAAAAAAAGACAAAATATAACATTATTTTTTTAATTTATATTATAATATTAAACAGATTGCCGACTATCGAAATCGAACTACTTTATCGACAAAGTTTAGCATGCACTTTGTTATAAGGTTCCCCAAAAATTACGATGGAGCTACAATGTTTCTTCGTACACGTGAATGGAGCAGAGCGAAAGAAAACAATAATAACGTAAGTTACAAAACTATACGTAACAAAAATTACTGCACAAGAAAATGATTTTTTGAAATAAAGCTATAATTTGTATTTTATAAAAAGGGGGAGGTGAAGGACACCGTACCGGTATCGTGTACGTTCTAGGAGGAACGACGTTCACGAAAGAACGCGGGAATAAAGTACTCCCGTTGTTTCTGCGGTGTATACAATGGTTATTTGCAAATATTATCGACAAGGCAATTGCCGTTACGGTCAATATTGCCAATTCGAACACATAAATCATTTCGGTAAGACATATGTTAACATATACATTTTCACTATTCAACTGGCAAGTAATATATCATTGTTTGACTTTCCAAGCGGGCAATACTAAAACCGAGGATGATATCGTGTAAGTATTTGCATAAGTTTGCATATGTATATTGTGAGTTTCTATTTATGTTTACAAGTCTATATACTTAAGTTAAGATCGATCTTTTTTTCTTTTCTACATTCATATACATCAGTATTCTGGTGGCCAAGGAAGTACTTCTTGCGGAGAGAGGCGGCCAGTGGTTGCTGTCTTGCTTTGCCCCACTCAAAGAACGTCCTTGTATCCCAGGGATGGAGGACTTATCTCCAGAGGAAGTTCGATGGGAGATATATAATGCACAGAAAAATGGCATGGTTGAGCAAGCGGTTAGTAGATTTATGTTAAGTTGTCTGAGCAATACGGAGCTATAAGATAAAGGATTCCTGAAAGAAAAATTTTTCTGTTGCTCAGATAAATCATGAGAGTATTTATTGATATATAAAATAATAGACTATTTTTGCATATTGTGTTTTTAGAAATTACATTTTCAACAATTGTATCAAGACATGAAGGCGAAAAGGGAGGTGCTAAAAAATCCTACGCGAGAAACAATGACGTTGCTGGTATGTCAAGTGAAATGGGTTTCTCCATGTAATTGTTTTGATTAATCGATTAAAGCCTCTCAAATATATTTATGAACGATATGATTGTGTTTCAGAAAAAAATTTTAGGAAGTAGCCAAAAAGGTAGGTTAGATGTATACAACTACACAGCATGAAATATTTATGTGAATAATTTTTTTTTAATTTCAATAAAATATTTCAGAAATGTTTCGTCAACATTTATAAAACGTTTTAAAATATTACATTAAAATATTTCATAATGTTTTAGAAATGTACAAATATTATAAGAAGAAAAATATTTTAAAAATCTTTAATATATTTTCTGGCTATTTATATTTCAGAAATGTTTCATGAAAAATTCTGAAATATTTTAAATCTTGTAATGAAATATATAATATATATTTCGGAAATATTTCCTGTTTTCTGAGGAAATTATCTATTTTATTTTTTGCAGCTTCTCAGCTGAGTCTAGTCAATAACACGTCGACTAATAACGTGTTCGGAAATACAACATACAATATGCAGAATAATAATCCATTTGGTGGATTCACCTCCTCGAGCAATACATCGTCGATATTTGGAAAGTCCAATAATAATACAGCATTTGGTAATGCGGCGACCTTCGGAAATAATCTCGGCGGATTTGGTACTACGACGAGTGGTGCTGGCTCTATTTTTGGAACCACGAGCACGCCTACATTCAGCGGTGTACAGACCAGCACATCAGCATTTAGAACGCAACAGACGAATCCGATCTTCGGCGGATCGCCTCAAAGTGTATTTGGCCAAAACAATGTATTTGGCGGGACGGGCCAGCTTGGCAACGTGCCTACCACCTCGCTGTTCAATAATCCGATGACTTCGCAGGCGAACACTTCGCTGTTTGGCGGACCGACAACCACCACCTCCAATTTGTTCGGTGGCTCGTCCACTGGATTACAGACAAATCCGGTCTTCGGTGTCTCGACTACGTCATCATCTGGCTCCTTCAACGGCGGGATATTCACTCAGCCAAAAACGCAAATGCATGCATTCGGCGGAGCACCAGTTTTCGCGGGAGTAACTACTAACTATACTAACAATTCCACTGGCAACTCGTTATTTGGCGGCGGTCAAACGTTTGGCACTCCCACAAACGGCATCTTTGGCGTATCCACGGCTGTTGCAACGCCAGGTTTTGGTGCGGCTGCCGCTACTACTACGCCAGCTTTTTGTACGCCTATTGTTGCCGCGACGACACCAGGTTTTGGTGCATCCGTCGCTACCACGGCGCCAGCACCTTTGGCCTTTGATCTGAATCAACAGCCCAGCAATAATACCTTTGGAACAACCGTATCCGCTCCTAATGTCTTTGGTACACAGAATACAGACACCATGTCGGCAAGCAACACACCGTTCGGTGCGCCGCCTGCCGCGATCAGCGGCCCGTTCGTCACCACTAGCTCGCAACAATTTGATTCTACAAACACGAGCTCGGCGCCGTTTGCGGGCACAGGATTCGGCGTGTCCGTCGCGAATACAAATAATACATTCGGCACCACAGAAACCTCTTCCAATTCGTTATTTGTGAATGCGGGAACTACCTTTGCAACTTCCAACGGAACCATTCCAAATCCATCACCGTTCTCCGCATCGACATTTGGCAATATCAATACTTCCTCTCCGTTCGGTCCACCTGCTAGTACAACTGTTACAACGACACCCGCAAAGCCATTTGCACCACGGCCACAAGGCGCTTCACCGTTCGGAAACGTTGCGCAAAATCAATTAAACATCAACATTCCTCCTTTTGGAAAATCACCGTTTAACACCGCTATAACCAACAACATCATCGACGATACCGTTTATAGCGCGGATAATGCATTAACGGATGATGAGAAGAATATGTTCTTGGCTGAAAAATTTATCATCGGCAAAATACCACTCAAACCTCCTACTAAAGATATAAGATGACTTGATAATACCATCTATGAACTTATAATGACAGGTATTAAATGTATACTGTGATAAAGGTACTATTTCTGCTGTAAATATCTAAATCTTTATATGGCTAATATGTCTAAATAGGTTTTTACTAGAAATTATAGTTATAAGACCAATTAAAGACTCTTATTAATTTCGATATTAATAACTTTGTTAATTCAATAATTAAAGAGTCACCGATGTGAATTATGTGCCTGAATGTGAATGATGTGAGCAAAAGGGATTTTATTTAAGAACTCAATTCGATGTACGATTCTTTTTAATACAATGAAATAAAATCGTTACTAAGCTCGTATAACTTAACAGACTATTGTTTTATATAATTCGACATTTAATCAACGCACCAACATAAATCAAACATCTTTTGTATTAACGTTTTTTAATTTAATTTAATGAATTACATGATATTTACATATATACAAGCAATGATCGATTGTATCACAAATTATGAAACAACGTCTTCATAGATTTTTATAATGGATTACTCCGTGTGAAAGAGACGGGGTAGCAGGAGGAGGAGCAGGAGGTACGGGAAGCGGTGGTACACTATTAATGAATTGCGTGCCTTCCGAAACCTGTAAACAACATATATACACGCTATTCCTAGGTTCATGTAATTGGATTTGGTACTACGTAGACACGTTTATAAACACACCTGCGGCAAGTGGCACAGAGAGTTCGACGGATAATTACTTCGTTGCGCATAAGTTGCAGACTGATTGGACGTCTGCGATAGGCCGGGTGGTATACCGTTCGAGGATTTGTATCCGGTGACCTAAAAAAGACAACAAAGTTCTATGTTAATACACGAAAATCGAACAAACTCTATCTATAATATTTATTGTAGAACGTGATCCGATACCTTGTCATTTATTTCAGGAAATATCGTGCTTAGATTGAAATTGGTGAGACTGGTTCCCGATGGATGATGCGGCATGGCCATTGGATTGCTCGAGACGATTCCTCCACGGACCATATTAGAGTTCATAGAGAAACTGGCCGCAGTTGCGACACCCTGGGCACTCGCCATGGCTGACGGCGGGGGCGGTGGAAGACCATTCACAGTCTTGG